GAGGGGGTTTTAAGTAATTTATATATTTATTTAATTAATTAACTTAATAAGACTTATTTTAATGAGGCAATATCAGTTAATAAACTTAAAAACTCACAGTCAAACACATAGAAAATCTGACGCTAAAGCATTAACCAAAAAGGGAGAAAAGTCATCGACGTTCTTAGGTGAATTAAGGTGTTCTTCAATTTTCGTTAAAGGTGGTCTTCGTAGATTATGTTCTACATAAGGTATGATTTTTATCTTCTAGAATTATTTTTCCAGAAGTATTTTCCATCGTCTTGAATTAAGGGTGGGTGCCAAGGTTCTTGTTGAACGTCCTTCTTCACTAGGTATTCTCGTTTTTCACTCTAATTAATATGTAGACGTAGTCTTGATCATGTTGTTGTTATACGGTGCTGTTTGATCTAGTTGTGCAGGTTTATTGATTTTTAATTGTCTAATGAACATATATTTTGTACATGTATGATTTTATGTGACCCTTATGTGATATAAAGAATAATGTTGCATCCACTTGTATACGTAATGCTAGTCTTGAGATGTTAAGATCGTGATGAGCATACGTACTCTTAAAAATTACTTGATGGAAATGTAATGTTCTTTAAAGTGTTCATATGAGGATGCACGAAATGACTACTAATGAGATGTTTAATCTAAGTTATAATGTTTGCTAAAAAGATCTCCATTAAATCATACATGAATGGATGTTTCGCTTATGACAAAAAAATGGCTATCAAAATATTGTCTGAATTGTTGAATAGAATTTGCTATCATTCTATCTTTAAATAAATAAAACATATACCAAAAAAAGAATAAATGAATGTAACTTTGGCTTGTTTCAACAAAGATGATTATGAAATCTTTTCCAAATTACATAGGCCAATAGTAATTTTATGCCAATCATATATAGACAAAGTATTGCAATGAAAATTTTAGCACATCTAAGATAATTCAATGAATCCATATCAAAGGGTATGTCAATGATTTGGTTAAGTCCCAACATGTCCTAACGTAATGAAGTATGAACATAAGTATTTCAACGAATAAAGTTCTCACCGTCCATAAACGATGATATGAATCTACCAAATGAACGTAAGAAACTAAGGTGGGTATTAACATAACTAATATGTGTAAGTGAAGAAAGTGACCAGAATTAGGTAATAAAGGAAGTGAGAGAAGCATCACTTACACCTAAGATACTATATTAAGATACTCATGAAAGAGGGTCTTAGAATGTGTGAGACAAGTCTCATTAATACCAAAGATGTTATGTAAGGATAATTAAAATTTCATCAATGTAAATAAAAGGATGATAAGTCATCAATAGAGTAAGTAAACCTCAATCTAGAATAAAGCTTCCATATTGTTTGAGTCAACTCTAAAATTTAATAAGGTAAATGAAGTGAGCAAAAAAATGATAGACTAGCTATGAGCTTTTGCGTGCACTTTTAAGTCTCATGAGATTAGTCTACCACTATGATGGTAAGTAGTCTCCATATGTATCCTAGTCTTCAAACTATATCTAGCGAACATGGGAACTAGCCTGTGGTTACCACAAAAGAAAGTTAGGTATGTTTTTATCTTACCTTAGCCAGTGAGATTTCTTCTTTTCGGTGTGGGAAAGACACAGGATTTTATGTTTAGCTCACATGATCTATGTAGGTTAATGCTCAAAAGAATGTTCTTGGTTCACTATAGCCGTGAGCCACACCTATCAGTGTGGATTAAACATATTAAATTGATTGACCTTTTTCGAGAATCACCCATTATTTGTGTGGGGCAAACACTTGATTTCATGTTGTCTCACATGATATTTATTAATTTTGATCAGTGAATAACCTCTTTTCGGTTTGGGGAAGACACTGAATTTTATGTTAGCTGGCATGATCTTAATTCTAAAGATATCTCTAAGAAAGGAAAAAATAAAGAAGATGAAACGTATGTTCAAAGTGATCTATGAAAGTAAGAGTTAAAGAATATTAAATATATGTGTGGATACCAATGAAGTTTTCAACAAATAATGGGCAAACTTAAATAAAATTTGCTTATAATGAATTCTTATATTATGCCAATAAAGGGGAGTAAAATTTAGGGCCAATCTATGCATTATAACTTCCATAATATGAAAATTATGAAATAAGTGGCAAAGCCAATAGAGACTGACCTATGAAGTGTTCTTTCCCAACGAATACAACATGTAATGAATGACTTTTTCCAAGGATAGTGAAATCATTCCTTAGTCCTTCGATTACATACTTGATTCATTGTGGGAATGGGACTACAATGAATTATTTCACTAGAATGTAAGACATACTATCAAAGGAATCATTGAACTACACAACAAGAAGAACAAATAGGCTGAAAAATCAACTAAAGTACTAAAGGGAGAGCTCTCGGGTAAGGGATAGCCAAATTTCAAATATTCATTTGATTTGTCCTAAAATTATGTTGATGATACTAATATCTTGTGATCACATAGAAAATTAGTTGGGTGCTTTTAATGCACTAAAATACATCATATTCATACCACAATTCACAACTAACGAATTAGGGAAGTCAAGTGACTTAAATTTAAAGAAATGGCATGTTGTATAGGAAGAGTGTTCCGTAATCCTGCATAGTCTTATGTTTATTTGTGCATAGGCCCATACTTAGTACAAGTGTGCACTTACACTATACAATTACATTTCTATAGGTGCAGGTCAAAGAGTAGATTGAATATTCATTGCAACGTTTTGGACTAAACGATCTCCAGACCATTTAGTAGGTCCTTTATAGTTTGAGGATGCTACTTCTATCTTCATAGCATAGAATATACACATAGCTACAGGATGTTGTCCATAGCTTTTCTTTCAGATGTTTTGATTTTGAAGTTTTTGTATTAAGGCCATTTAGGAAAACTTAATATAATATATATTAATTTTCATTTTGAATTGCGTAATCCATTGTAGATTTTTGTATTGTTGATCTTATAGTATATGAATTCATGAAAGATTATATGAAGTCTATGTACGATTTATTAATGATTAAAAGTTTAAAATTGTCTCGCAAAATTTAAGTATACGAATGGGATGACTTCTAAGAAGAGGCTTGGCGACCTCTGAGAGATTAAAGTCGCCGGTTGCGATGCGATTTATGAATCTCGGTCATGATAGAATAGAATAGGATTTTCTGCGACCTTTGAGAGGTCAATGACGGCGATCGCAATTCGGATGTAAGAATCTGGGATGTCACAACTGTCGACATCAACATCAATATTATTGTCAACATCAATGTCAATGTCGACGTCATTTTCAAGTTGAACATTAAGGTGAATGTCAACGTGAACGTCAATGTGAAAGTCAACTAAAACATAAATATCCATGTCAATGTAAAAATTGATGTGAATATTAACGTGAACGTGAATGTCAACGTGAACGTTAATGTGAACATGAACGTGCATCAATATTAAAGTGAAAGTGAACGTCAATGTTAGATTAATGTGAACGTAAATGTCAACATAAATTGGAACATCAACATGAGCATAAGAATTAATGTCAATGTGATCAATATAAATGTGAACGTCAACATGAGCAGAAGTGTCAATGTCAATGTGAACATCAATGCCAATGTCAACGTAAATTTGAATGTTAATATAAACGTCCACGTCAACATTAATGTTAATGCCAACATGAATGTCAATGTAAATGTTAACACCAACGTAAATGTTAACGTCAATGTGACCGTTAATATGAACTTCAACATGAATGTCAATATAAAAGTCAACTTAAACATCAATGTACATGTCGACATGAACGTCTATATATATGTGAACATGAACGTCAATGTGAACGTATATGTCAACGTAAATGTGAACATCATCTTGAATGTAAAGTGAACTTCAACGTGAATTTCCACATCAATATCAATATAAATGTCAACATGAACATCAACATGAACATCAACATGAACATCAACATTAACTTCAACATGAACATCAATATGAATGTATATGTTAACATAAAGGTGAACGTCAACTTGAGCATGAACGTGAACCTCAACATAAATGTTAACATGAATACCAATGTAAATTTCAACATCAACGTTAATATAAAATTAGATGTTTATGTAAACAAAAACATCAATGTGACCGTATACGTGAACGTCAATGTGTGGGTGAATATGAATATCAACAACAACAACTACGTCAACTTAAATGTTAATGTGAACGTCAATGTGAATGTGAAAGTAACATCAACATAAATATCAACGTCAATGTCAACATAACGTCAATGTCAATGTTAATTTTACTATCAACATCAACATAAACATCAACATCAGTGTGAACATCAAAGGCAACATTAACAGCGATGTCGATGTGATTGTAAGGTGAACTTCAACGTGAAATTCAACATGAATGTGAATGTTAAGGTCCATGTCAATGTTGATGTTAACATCAACACGAATATTAATATGAATGTCAATGTCAACATCATCGTCAGTGTCAACATCGACATGTATATTAATATATATGTCAACGTCAATGTCAACATCAATGATAATGTCAACGTAATTATCAATGTGAATATCAAGGTGAACGTTTACATGAGCATGAATGTGAATGTAAACTTTAACATAAACATCAATGTCTATGTAAACGTCAATATGAATATCAACGTGAATGTGAACATCAATGTGAATGTTAATATGAACATAAACGTGCGCCAACATTGAATTTAATCTGACCGTCAATGTTGACATTAATATAAATGTATATCTCCATATCAATGTGAACGTGAACTTTAATGTGAACTGGAAGATGAACATAAGCGTCAACGTCAATTTGAACATCAATGTCAATGTTAATGTAAATGTTAATATCAACTTCAACGTTAATGTAAAAGTCAACATGAATGTCAATGTGAATGTTAACATCAACATAAACATCAACATAAATGAGAATGTCAATGTGAAATTTAACACGAATGTCATTGTAAATATCAACGTAAATATCAATGTACATTTCAACGTGAACGTCCACATGAATGTGAATGTGAACCTCAATGTGAACGTATATGTCAATGGAAATGTCAATGTCATTTTGAATATAAATGTGAACTTCAACGTGAATGTCAACGTAAACGTCAATGTAAACGTCAATGTAAACGTCAACATTAACATCAACATTAATGTCAATGTGAATATATATGTCAATATAAACGTGATTGTTAACTTGAACATAAATGTGAACCTCAAAATGAAGGTGAACATGAATGTCAATGTCAACGTAAATATCAATATCAACGTAAATATAAACGTTAATGTGAACGTCATCATTAATGTCAACGTAAACATGAACCTCAATGCGAATGCAAATATGAATTTCAATATCAACCTCTATGTCAACATATACATGAACGTGAACATCAATGTGAACATGAATGTAACATCTACATGATTGTGAACGTCAACGTGAACATAATGTCAATGTAAATGTAAATGTAAATATAATTGTCAACGAAAATGTGAAAGTCTGCGTGAACGTCAATATCAACATCAACATCAAAATCAAAGTCAATGTCAACGTAATTGTCAAGGCGAATGTCAACATGAATGTCAACATGACGTCAATGTGAATATGAATATCAATGTCAATGTCAACGTTAAATTCAATGTGAATATTAACGCGAATCTCAATGTCAACATCAATATCAATATTAACATAACGTTTACATCAACGTCAATATCAAATAAACCTCAATGCCAATATCAATGTCATTGTTAGCGTGGACATCAAGTTAAACGTCTACGTGAACATCAATGTTAATGTCAAGTTCAACATAAATGACAATGTCAACGTGAATGACAACTTGAATATCAATGTGAACGTCAATGTCAACGCAATGTTAAAGTGAACGTGAACATTAATGTTAACATTAATGTAAACGTCAATGTTAACATTAATGTGAACGTGATCTTTAATGTGAACGTCAACCTGAGCATCAGTGTTGACGTTAATGTGAATGTCAATTTTAACCTAAACGTGAACATAAATGTGAATGTTAATGTTATTGTTAACGTCAACATGAATGTCAATTTGAATGTTAACATCAACGTAAACATCAACCGCAATTTAAATGTTAATGTGAACATCAACGTGAATGTCAACGTCAATGTCAATATTAATATCAACGTCAATATTAATATAAATATCAACAAGAACGTCAATATGAATGCGAACGTGAACATCAATGTGAATGTATATGTCAACTTAAACGTAAACTTCAACTTGAACGTGAACCTCAAAATAAATTTCAACGGCAATGTTTACAAAAGCTTCGAGGTCAACATCAACATCTGCGTGAACGTCAATTTCAATGTCAACATCAACATGAAGGTCAACGTGAATGTGATTGTCAACGTGAACGTCCAATTGAATGTCTCTGTAAACGTAAACTTGACTGTGAATGTGAATGTCAATGTCCATTCAACGTCAATGTTAATGTCAACATGAACGTTAATGTAAATATCAATCTATATTTTAACGTCATCGTCAATATAAACATTAATATCAACGTCAACGTTAACATCAACATCAACGTCAATGTCAATGCCAAAATCTATGTCAACGTGAACATCAATGAAAATATCGATATGCACGTCAATGTGAAAGTCAATGTGAACATCAACTTGAATGTTAACGTCAACATCAATGTGAACATAAACATCATCATGAACCTGAATGTCAATCTGAATGTGAACTTCAACATGAATGTTAATGTGAACATCATTGTCAACATCAACGTGAACATGCACATCAGCATAAACAACAATGTGAATGTCAACTTGAACATGAAGTAAACGTAAATGTCAATTTCAACTTCACCATCAACGTCAATATTAATATCAACTCATTTTGAACGTGATCGTGAATGTCAATGTCGACATCCTTATCAACATCAACGTTAATATTTAATGTCAACGATAGTGTGAACCTAAACATCAATACGAACGTCAACATTAACATGAATGTGAATGTAATTGTTGAAATAAACGTCAATGTCAATGAGAACATCAATGTGAACATCAATGTCAATGCAGACATCAATGTAAACATGAATGTGAACATCAATATCAATGTTAATGTACAGGACAACATCAATGAGAATGTAAAAATAAGTATAAATATCAACGTCAACGTACACGTCAACATTAATGTGAAGGTCAACATCCACATAAATGTGAACATCAACATCAATGTATATATAAAAGTGAATGTCAACATCAAAGTGAACGTGAACATGAACGTCAATGTGAACATCAACATGAACATATATGTCAAAGTAAAGGTAAACATGAATGTCAATGTGAACGTGAACATCAACATAAACCTGAAGCTCAAAATTAATGTAAATATCAAAATCAATATGAACGTCAACGTGAATATCAAAGTGAATGTCAACGTAAACGTTAATGTCAACATAAACATTAACGTTAATATAAATGTCAACGTAAACGTAAAAAAAAATTCGTGCGAATGACAATATGAAACTCAATATCAACATAAACATTAACGTCAATAAAAAAATTTATGTTAACATAGATACGAACGTCAGTGTGAACATTAACGTCAATGTGAATATCAATGTGAACATCAACAAGAACGTCACAGTGAATATTAACATAAACGTAAATGTCAATGTAAAATTGAACATCAACGTCAATGTAAAACTGAATGACAATGTGGGCGTTAAAATCTATGTCAACATCAACATCATTGTGAACATCAATGTTAACTTCACCGTCAACGTGAACATCAACATCAATGTGCACTTAATCGTCAATGTGTACATCAACGTTAATGTCAATTATAATGTAAACGTGAACGTGACCCTCAACATCAACATCAACGTCCATGTTAATGCTAATGTTAACGTCAATGTGATGTAAATGTAAACGTCAATGTAAACATGAATGTAAAAGTCAAATCTAATGCAAACGTCAACATAAACATCAATGTGATTGTCTAGCCAAATATCAATGTGAATGTTAATGTCGCACTTAATGTCAATGTGAATGTCAATGTAAACATTACCTTGAACGTCAACTTGAACGTCAGGATGAACATCAATATTAACATGAATATCAACGTGAACATCAATATGAACGTTAACATTAATGTGAATGTGAATGTCAGTGTGAAGGTGAACATGAAAATCAACTTGAATATGAATGTCAATATAATTGTTAATGTGACCGTTAACATGATTGTAAACATCAACTTGAACGTGAATGTCCATATCAATGCCAACGTGAATGTTAACATGAACGTGAATGTCAACATGAACTCAATGTGAATATAAATGTGCTCGTAAACCTTAACGACAATGCGAACATTAAAATCAATATGAACAACAACATCAATATGAATGTCAATGTGAACATCAATAACAACATGAACTTGCACATCTATATATATGTCAATGCTAATGTAAATGTCAACATGAATATCAAAGTAAATGTCAACATCAACGTCAACGCTAATGCAAATGTCAAAGTGAACTGTAAGACCCCAAAAATGATTTAGGATGTCTAGATCCTAACATGTTCGTCATAACAGTTTAAATCCCTCTAACGATTTATAAAATGGTATTTAGAAAGTTTGTAAGATTCCAGGTGATTTGGATTTCAAACGTCAAGGGAAGACTAAGACGTTCAATGACTAGTCACCTTTGTGCCTCATGTGTTTATATGCAATTATATTTGTATGTCATGAGATTATCAAGTCTTAATATAATGCAGAATAATGTTTATAGGTATTTTATAGATTTTCATAATGTTTGGAGGTCGAACGTCCAATAACTTCTATGACGTTCGAAAGTAAGCCCTTGATATGTCCAAGAATCTAGGTTATGTTACTATTTTTATGAGCATGTAAATGGTTATGTTAAGATCATGTGTTGGTGCTTCCATTAATAAAGTATTACGTATTAATGACCCCTACCCGTATAATCCTATGTGAATGTGTGAATAGATAATGTTAAAAGTCTATAATGTAATGTGAAAATTAACTTGCCTCCTATGCTAAAGGGTGTTGCATGGTGTATGGTTTGTTATGCCTAATGCTCTTAAGAGGTGTCTGCCTCAAAATGTTATGGATATCTATTATGTGATCATGTTGGCGAATGTGAACACACACACTCACATATTATGCATGCTTACAAGCAATATAGATCATGGTGTGAATGAAAGGTAGTTATCATACTCACTGGGGTCTACTACTAAGCCTGATAAGATTATTTCTATGAAGGTATGATATGTGTTTTTTTAAGTAGGATTACTTGAAAGGTGTACTAGTATGGGCAACGGTATTTGACCTTCCCCATGCAATGCACATGTGTGCCTTGATATGATAGTTTCTAGGGTTTGGTTTTATGTACATGAATATTAATGTATGAAGATGTGTGAGTTAATGTGTAATGTTAAAAGAGTACTCACATATATGTATACACACACACATAAATGATGATCTAGTCAATATAGGAGCCTTGAGAAGTGCGATCAAGTGAATCCTAAACTACATAGTGATATAATATATGTTATATCCATGTGAAAGGATTTCTCACATGATGTAGGTTGACGAACATTCATTAATGACTTATGAGCTAAGCATATGAGGGGATGACTCTCCAAAGACTATGTTTTATAATGAATAATAAATGGAACTTAGCTTAGAACTAAGTGAACTTGAATATGAGTGTGTGTTCCTTTCCAATATGGGAAAGAAAGGTCTACCATAAATATCATGAGGTGGACAAAACCAATGCCTTAATAGGCATATATAGGGTTTCCATAAGTCAATAACCATAATGCCCGATATTCGCATAAAGAGGGTACTAATATGTACCTCAAAGTTCCTTAACTATTCTTGCCACATAGGATCTAAAAAGTGAATTCATTTAGTAAGCTTGCATGTGTTAATGTTGTACCTTTGCTAGGTAAGAACACCTTACATTGGTGTAAGGCACTATAACACCAAATTCCTTGTTTAACACCGATTATCTTAGTGTAACTTAAGGCAATAGTTTCCCTAATGTAAAATGAACTATGAAAGTAAATTATTAAAAATATAAATAGGATATCATAAGCGAGGTTACTTAGGATAGGCGAAAGTAATGAACCCATCAAGACTTTGCACTAGTAGCTCCTTAGGATGTTCTAGGAACTTGATATAATATGTATGATTATGATTGTTTCTTTATGCATGGATGGTATTATTTTTCTATTTTTCATGAAGATGTGCATTATATGAGTCTATGTGATGTGTTCTTATTCTTACGTGCATTATGTGAGACTTAATGACCATATGATGAATATTGTTGACATGAATGGATTGGTCTTCACTTAATATATTGATGTATGAATTGAATGACAAGGTATGTAGTCTCTAAAGGATTTACTAGGTCTGTATAGGGTTATGGGGCTTCACATGTACAATGCACTAGTAGACTAAGATTCGGGTCATAGAGAAGGTCTTGTAATTATTTATGTGAAGTGAAGTCATTATATGTTCAAATTGATGTAGCTTACCGTAAAGACAATAGACCCTTGAGTTTAATGTGTCTTTGATAGGTTAAACTTGTATGATGGTATGTGTTGGCTTGTATAGGTGTAACATTCTAGAAAATGTACTTGTCCAGTGAAGGGTCGATTATGTTTTAAGAATATGTATTCAGGTCCATAGTAATCCCAATGTCCAATATTCAGTAATATTGGGCATGATAGAGAATATTGGCTTAAGTGTGTTAGCCGATATCTGTGTATAAAGATATAATTTGATCTGCAATGCTAATATCTAAGTTTGTTTAGGAATTGTACCTGCAATAAAGTCCCTAGTCTAACAAAATTTTAATTTGTTAGATCCCACACATTAGGAATGAGGTATCCAAGTGTTATGTCTAGGTACCATAACACATTATCATTTAAAATTATTATATATATTAAGCAGTGCCCAAGGAAATAGTGAGGGTCCTTGGACAAGAAATCAACAGCAACACATGTGCAAGAGAAAAGCGACCAAGGCCAAACAAAATTTAGTTAGGGCGGTTAGCTAACAGGCGCGTGCACGAGTAAAGCCATGTGGGATCTATCTTCCTTAAAAACACTAGGATCTGACTAATTTATCTAACTAACTAACTAACCTAGAAAAACCTACTAAAATAAACTTACTAGTGTACCGAAATCCTAAAATCTAACCGTCTAAAACTAGTCGGGTACCTAACTAAAGAAACATCGTAGTACCTAACCTAGAATGGTCCAAAGAGGTTTATTATGGTCTTTTCTACTTAGGTTAATTTAGTAAATACCCTTAGTCACTTTATTAATTAATTAACAAACTTTGTTAATGAAATAAAAATTCATGGTCAAGCAGAGACACCTTAGTAAGTTTTGAGATTTGGCTATATCAAATGCTCTCCCATTTTTAGT